AATCCACACTACCAAGGATTATCACAGGATCTGTGTACAATGAAAACCTCTCAGCGATAGCACATAAACAATGGACACAGTTTGACTCACATCCTAGCAAAAGATCTAGAGCTCCTCCTATAAAGGGGGAAAAATGACATAATCACTTGGCCTCACTCCCCCTCCCCACAACTCAACACCTGGAAACACGCCTGGAGGACAAAGCCTGAACGGGGCGGGGGCCCCAGGCTGGAAAGGAGAATCCCAGCCTGTGTATTCAGGAACTACCAGGATGAGACACGGCTTGATTCAGATCCTGTCTAGTTTATAGAACTCAGACTGTGGTTTTACTTTCAGATCTTAGGTAACTAACTTTGATCTGTACATTTATTACTTATAATCACTTAAAATCGATCTTTCTGTAGTTAATAAACCTGGTTTATATCTTACTTAAAACAGTGTGTTTTGGTTGAAGTGCCTGAGGAATCCGCTCGGTGTACAAAAGCTGGTGCATGTCCGCTTTCTTTGTTAGAAGTGGCGGACTGGGAAATAAACGAACACTGGCCGGGCTTCTGACCAGGGCAAGATGGTACAGGTGTGCGGTCCTATGCTGGGGAGCTGGGAGAATTGTCTGGAGCCTCTCTATTGTTGGTTCATGAGTGGCTGGGCGATCATTCCTGTAACTCAGCTGGGTGTGTCCCTGTCTGTGGATGGCTGTGCAAGTGCAGGCCCTGGAGAGGACTGTAGCGTGTCACAGCATCACGGTGTGAGAGGGAGTCCAGGTTGGTGAGACAGAGGGCTCAGCCGTACCCCAGTTCTAGATTGCACCCCGGGGAACCCGTCACACCTGCCCCCTTCCGCACCCCGGGCACTGCACAGAGCAAGGACCCTCCCCTCCCCCACCCCAGTGCACTGCATAGAGCAGGAACCCACCCCTCCCCCACCCCTGGATATCACACATGCCAGGGTACTGTTTTGATCTGCTTTGGCACAGTGTAGCCATGGTGTGAGGAGGGGTCACACTGGGGCTGGGTCAAGCCTGTTATTCTCATGTCTCAGTATCCCAGACCTGTGGGTACCTTATCATGGCACGTGTGAGTGTGGGGCCATTGCACCTTGTCTGGGGAGAGTGCCCCTTTCTCTGGCTGGTGCTGCCGTCCCCGCAGCCAGCTCAATGATCCCAGCTGGGTAATGGGGCTGGGGTAGGCCCTGAATGACAAACTCTCCACCCCCTGCTCTCCAAGCAGACATTGTGCTGGGAAAGCCCAGAGGCAAATGCTCTGTGCACTGGCCAGTGGGCACAGCTGGGGCCTGACTCTTGGGGGTGCTGGCACAAGCTGGCCTCAGGCAGGGCCGGCTCCAGGCACCAGCGAAGGAAGCAGGTGATTGGGGCGGCCAATACAAAGGGGCGGCACTCCGTCCGGTATCGGGGCAGCACCTCTGGCTCTTCGGCGGCAATTCAGTGGCGAATCCCTTAGTCCCTCTTTGAGCTGCCGCCTAAGTGCTGCCTAAGAGGAAGAGAGGGAGTGAAGGACCCACCGCCGAAGTGCCACCGAAGAATGAAGCGGCACGATTGAGCTGCCGCCAAAGTGCTGCTGATCGGCTTTTTTTTTTGCCGCTTGGGGCGGCAGAAAAGCTGGAGCCGGCCCTGGCCTCAGTGGGTACATCTGCACTGCAGCTGGGCATGTGCCTCTCACACCGGCCAGACAGACACATGCTAGCGTGTTAACAATAGCAGCGTGGCCATTGGAGCTGGGAGACGGATGGGCTAGTCACTAGAGCTCAGACCTGGGGGATCAGGAGGGCTTGTACTCAGGTGACTAGTCATGTCACTGCCTGGGCCACAACAGCCACACTTCTGTTTTTAATTCTAACTCGAGCAGAGGTAGCACATATCTGTCTGTCCAGGCTGGGAACTCGGAGCGCTCAGCAAAGCAGGTCCTGGCTGGCCGACTCTGTTTGCTAACGGCTTTATACTTGCTTCTCTGGCAGATGTTCTCGGTCCAGTAGTTCTTAGGGCCACGCAGGTAGAAGCAAAGGCAGAATGTGGCCCATGTGTCTGAGGGGGGAGGGTTACACACTGTTGTTGTGGGCAGCTGCTGACGTATTGGGTACAGGCACAATTAATCATAGAATACCAGGGTTGGAAGGGACCTCAGGAGGTCATCTAGTCCAACCCCCTGCTCAAAGCAGGACCAATCCCCAGACAGATTTTTACCCCAGTTCCTTAAATGGCCCCCTCAAGGATTGAACTCATAACCCTGGGTTTAGTAGGCCAATGCTCAAACCACTGAGCTATCCCTCCCCCCAACAATTACAGGTTGTTTGCATGTTATTGTTCCGTTAAGATAAAATCTGTGCTCCAGAAATAAGATATCGTCCACCCATCTGCCAGAAGCCCCATTCCGTGGAAACCAGATACTGTGTCAGCAGCCTCGCCTGTGCTGAATTTGGAAAGTGCTGAGTAAATCCAAGAGAGGAGTGTGTGCATGGGACCATCCGGCCAGGACCCTTTCAGCGGTGAGCGGTAATGACACACCGTGGCTGCGTAAAGGGCCCGATGCTTTAGCCAAAGCTGCTTAATGTCACACTCGGTCTCTCGTGCCTTGTGAGCCGGACTTTCCATCACGTGACCTGCCCCAGGCTGAAAACAAACTCACCAACGCGGAGGCCAGTTTTCGGTCAGTTCTGCAGGCAAGGGTTGTGGAAATTGCCATGGGGGGGGGGGGCGGCTGCATCTCCTGGACGCTGCCTCCCCACATGTTCACGATCACATAGCATCTCTGGGACAACCACGTAGCAATGGCTCCCATGGAAAAGGCTCGTAGGAGAGCACAGAAGGGTGCTTAGCTCCCTTCAGTGAAACCAGGCACAAGCTTCTGAATCCGCAGCTCTTTGGATTCCTTAGAGCCACAGTGAGGTATTGGCTGTGGGCGGACGTGCGCCGCTGGTGAGAAAACACAGCCGAGAATTTCCAGGCTGCCTCCAAATCCTACAGCTTCTTCCTGCAGATCCTCCCGAAGAGCGACCCTTTCCTGTCCTGCAGCTAGAATGCTCGGCAGCCTCCTCTCCACCTCCCTGGCACCTGCCTGGTCCTCATACGGCCCATTCTGCTACAATCACCTTCCTGTCCATTGCCCTGGCTATGTCACACCCCTCCGTGCGACCCCCACTAGCTCCCCCTTGATCCATGCGTCTCACACACAAGCTTCTGGGCCTTACTTGTAAGGCGCTGCACAGCTTTGCCCTTCCCTCTGCTTGTGTAAAATGTCATCTCTTGCCACCTTCCACCTTGTCTACTTCCTTTGCTCTTCCACCAACACCAGCCGCTTCTTTGATGCGCCCATTGGCACTTCTGCAGCCTCTTCTGCGCTGCCCCTTGTGCAGGAAGCAACATCCCTGAACAGATCCCGCAAGCCCCTGCCGTGTCACCCTTCAGATCCCTCCTCGCTGCTGCTGGCAGCCGATGGTAAATGGGCCACAAGGGTGGCAGGCGACCAGCAAAAAGTTTTTTTTTTTCTGTCGGCCCCCCCCCCCCCCCCCCCCCGCCCTGTCCCAGGTCAGTGGTTTGGTCCATTTACTTTTTGTGTCTGGGGCAGGCACTGTCCTTTCCATGTGTCAGTACAGTGCCTAGTTCAACGAGGCCTTGATCCTGGCCATGGCTGCTGGGCCCTGCATGAATACAAGGCAGTGCTAGAGACCTCCTGGCTCACCCTGGCAGCAAAAGCCTGTAGAAGCAGCTGCAAACAGGCCCAGCACCCCCTTCCCAGCCAGCCCCTCCGAAATCACTGGCATGGGCATGTGCATCCTTACTGGTGCAGTGTGGGGAACATCTGCTCTAATGTGTCTCATGAGAGCTCAGTGCCCAGGACTGTATTTCGGTCCCTGCCTATACAGCCCCACCAGCCTGCATGGCACTTAACAGACACGCCCCTGCTGCAAAGAGCAGCTGCTCTAAACAGACCGTACAGGCAAACCTAAAGGGCCTGGGGAGGTGAGCGAGATGCAAAATTTTGCTGGTATCATTCCACCCAGTCAGATTTCTCCTCTTGCAAAGGAAGGTCCGTGCAGCAGAAACTGTGGCCTAAAGTGCTGCTTGGAGCAGGAAATTAGTGAATTTTAATTGACATTAAGCAGGCTTATTATTAGCACTGAAGGAATGTTCCATGCTCTGGTCCATGGAAAACCTCTTCTGGTGAGTGAGTTGATGTCAAATGATCTTTGGTGTTCCTTAGTACAGAACCTGCCTGAGATCCCAGCATCATGATAACGGCCCACGCACCTAGACAAGCTGCTTAATGAGAGAGCCTCTGGACTATGCATCTCAGCCACGCGTTGTGCAGTAAGGAGCCAGTCTGACTCCGGGCAGTGGAAACGGGACGAGCAGGACACTGATTTATTGTGTTTATTAAAACTTTAAAAAGCAGTTGGACATTTTGATCCCACAATTTCCACTCTTTGCTGGGACGCCCTAATTCACACTTGGTAGAACTTCATTCCCGCTGTGTAGCATCTTGCTACAAGGAGTCGTAATAACTTCACGTGCAGTGTAAGGTTCAGTTCAACATGAGTAAAGTGATCACATTCCAGCCCTCTGTGAATGTGTCTCTCCTTCCTAGGCCCAGGGCCTCAGAGATGAAAGTGATTTGCTGCTTTAAACATACCAGGTTCTTTTAGCTGCCTAACTCAGGCTGAGGTTAACTCATTGTTTGCTGCCAGTTGGTGGCAGCTTGCTACTCATTCCTGTACATGCACCTAGGGGCTTGTGTGTTGAGATAATAACAGCAACTTCCAGGCTAAAATCATCTTGGCCAGCTCCCATCCAGACCTGGATACAGACTCAGAAAAGCAAGCACTGAATATACAACACCAAAAACTCAAGCAAGCTCTACTAATGGTTACGGGAGGCAGCTGCGTGCGGCAGGGAGGTGGGAGCTACTGGCAGCGTCCCATCATCTTGTTGCAGTTTGTGATGTTGCCCTGCCACACATGAGTCTGTAACAGCCACAGCCCATGGCAGGAAGCCAGGAATCCCATCCCCTCCAGCATCAGTGGGTAGCTCGCAGGCACAGCGGGTGCAAGAAGCTGTTCCACTAACGTAGGCAAGTCGCCTGGGTGCAGAGCCCCTCACTCCTGGCCCGGATGCTCCCCAATTGTCCACTTGGCTTTTACATCCCGCAGAGGTGCAATGTCTTCGTAGGTGGCAGTTTGTTCGATCTCTAAGCCCTGTGCAAAGAAGAGGGAGACTGAGGAGGAAACGTTCCCAGGGACCTGGTTCGGCCCTGAGATACGCCCAGGTGCCTCCCTTGGCTCACCCGTTGCTGCACCAGCCGAGCTTAGGGCAGAATTGGGAATTCAGTGTGATGTTAGTTGGCAGAAGAGCTTTACCAAAGCGGACTCCTTGCCTCCAGCCCCAGCCCTCCCTCCCTCCCATCTCTGAGGCTGGCCTAGCCGTGCCATCTTCAGGCTCATTCCCGGGGATGTAATGGATTGGTGCCTTTTTTGCTCCTTCATGATTTACAGAGAACCTGAAAGGGTTTGTTTATTCCCCTCTGCTTATTTTAGACAGAAATTCAGGCCTTGTCTACCCTGGCAGACTCTGTGGATGACTGGAGAACTAGTGGCACTATGACCGACCAAAAGTCTGGGAGCTGCATCTGAGAGGGGAAAAGATTTCGAGGCAGGCTGTTTGAAACGCTTAGTTTTGCATGGTTTTGTTAGTATTTATTTAACTCCAATACATAGGCGTGGGAAGTAGGGCTGTGTGGGATGATGCAGCACGCTCAGGTTTTGTGCCAGCCCCAGGGTCCCACCTGGGGATAGGACCGGCTGCTGGCCCTGCATGCAGGGTCCTGGCTGCCAGCCCAGGGTCCCGCTCAGCCACTGGCCCCATGCCCGGGGCTCCACACCCACCTCTAGCTGTGGCCCCAGCCTCCGCCGCTTTACCCCTGTCTGTGTCCCTCCCCTCCCGGAGCCAGAGCCCTGCTCCCGGCCCCAGCTCTAGGGGATGGTGGGGGGTGCAGACAGGGGTAAGCGGGGATGCAGCTCAGCACCCTCACTCCAAAAACTGTTCCAGCGCCACTTCTTCAATACACAACACACACTTGGGAGAAAGGACGTCAGTCTTAAAGATCCACTCCTCCTCCCCTTCAGCTCACAATGTACATCTGAAACCCCCAACAAATGCCGCCCTGCCCAGCTCACAGCTTCAAAAATATTCCTATTATATTAACTGTTATTAACCTAATTAACATGATATTGTTAACTTACCTCATAGGTATGGTCCTCATCAGAGCTGGCCTTGCCGTCGCCCTAGCGGGAGGGGAGAAGCACAGGGTAAATGTAGTGATATTCCTTACCACGGTGTCCTGCTATTTCTGGGCTCTTCCGTGGGCTGCTACCAGAATGTCTGTGTCATTAAATGTTTCCCCCCAAAGTGTCCCAAGTGGGTGTAAAAGCAGGGCATTGCCAAGCACTGCGTGACGGGGCAGATGTGCCCTCGGGGGAGTGGGACCATCCAAGAACAGCCCCGCTCAGCATGGTGTGTGTGAATGGCCTGGGCGTGTCTCCTACTGCGATGTCCTGGATTTACGCTGAGTCCTTGGTGTAAACCAACCCAGGTTAAGCCATGCGATGCACTCAGCACAACCCAGGTGCCAGGGATAACAGTGAGCTGTCTGGATGCCGGGGGCCTGTTCCGCTCCCAGCCATGCCAGCCCCACCCCAGATCTAAGCCTGAGGTCTGCACCGTCAGTGCCCAGACTCCTGATGACAGTTTCCCTTGGAGGAGCCAGGAGACATCACTGAACCCCTATCAGAGGCGACATACGGGGGGGCATGCAGGGTCATGTGCCCCCCCAGATTTGCTCACAGGGCTGAGCATGCTCAGTAACACTGCTGAAGCTGGCTGCCCTCACTCTGCCCCCCCCATCTCTGCCCTATCCCCACTAACCCACTAGACCCAGAGCTTCCCAGGGGAATTCCAGATGCTTCCAGGGCTCCCCGGGGCTAAATGCTTTATTCCTCCAAGCAAAGGAAGATAAATGTTCCTCCCTGAGGCCTGGTCTACACTTAAAACTCAGGTCAACATAGCTGCAGTACTCAGGAGTGTGAAAAATCCACAGCCCCCGAGTGCCGCAGTGGTGCCAAACTAACCCCCAGTGTAGCCGCAGCGAGGTCGATGGCAGACTGCTTCCATCATGCTAGCGACCGTCGCCCAGGGAGATTGAGTTCCTACCGCGACGGAAAAAACACGTATGTCGTTGTGGTGTGCATCTACACTACAGGCTTCCCGCGGTGTAGCTGGGAGCTGTAGCTCCTGTAGTGTAGACGTCCCTGGCCTACACCTTTCAACAGCCACGAGGGGCCACCAGGCTGAGGCAGTGCAACCCCTTGCTGTTCCTCCAGGCCTCTGCCAGCTGTTGGTGGGGCCCAGATGGCAATATCCCATATAACTCCCCCCTAACCGCGAAGCAGTGGGTGGAAGGGACTAGCTATCCTCCATCTTTTGCATTGCCTCTGGGACCTAGCCCAGGTACCTCAGTTCTCAGAGGAGGCTGTCAGGAAGAGCCCATTGGCTGAATAGACACAATGGAAATGGAGCCTCTTGTGACACAGCTATATATCCCCCCAGCAAAGGCGATACGCCTGATCTGGTTCCAGGGCCATTAGCCCCCTGCCCCTTAGAAAATACAGGAGACTTCTCCCCATCCTCAGCACAGCTCAGAGCGATGGCTGGGAGCCTGGGATGACGGTGCCCAGACAGGTCTAGAAACATGGTCCCCAACACGTCATGCTGAGACATTCCAAGATGCCTCGCACTGCAGGACGGTCAACGGTATTTCAGTAGGAGGCGCCCAATACTCACTCTCTCCAGGAGCAGGAGCATGGGGACGCTCACGAAGATGACCAGGAGAATGGACTGGATCATGATGATGACGTCTTTCACGCTGTTCCGTCTCTGGACCTGCTCAATGGTGCTGAAACCTACAAACAAGGCAACGGCAGGAAGGGGTGCCTTAAACCCTTTGCAGCGCCTCTCCCAGACGGGAGGCGCAGGAGCTGGCTGGAGTTTTGGTACAGAACAGCTGTAAGGGCCTAGGAGGAGGAACTTAGCATGAAAGGGTTCTGCATGGAGCAGTGAGTGAACGGGTGAAAACAAAAATTGATAAAGGGAATTCTTTTAAGAAAGGAAGGAAGGAAGAAAGGAAGGAAGCTGCCTGCTTTGCTTTCACAACAGCCCCGTTTGCACCCCATGAGCATCACAGACTTGCTTTTTTGATGGAGAAAAACCTCTCAGTTGATTCAAGAGCTTCCCTGACCTGCTGTTTGCTGTGACCTCCCATCAGCACCTCTTCTCCCCACCTCTCTGTGCTGCTGATACCCTCTCCTACCTTAGGAGTAGTGATTCATCCCCTTTTCCATACTGTGACCCCTTGCCACCGTCCATCTAGCCCGGGCCACTAGCCTGCAATGTCACCTGCTATTGCGATTTTCTCACTAGTCTCATGATATTTGGTGCTAAATCCCAGCTCTGGGAGTCAGGTGAATACATGAGAGTGTCAGCTTTTGGGGGTTTTATGTTTGCTTGGTTTGTTTTTAAAAGTAAGTACATGCCCTCCCGGTCATGGATAAAAGCTTGAAGACGTGAACCCTAAAGGGTCCAGACCCAGAAGGGAAATAAAGAGAACCCCAGTTTAAAATCTCATTGTTTTAAGCCCACCTCGTGATCTGTGGGCATGGCAGATGATCTGTGAGTGCTGAGGGCTGGCCAGCTCCATGGGCCCTGCTCTGGGGATGGGGAACGTCTCCCTGAAATGCTGCCCAGACAGCAAAGCAAGCAGCCTCCCCATGCCACACAGAGCTGGGCTTGCAAGTGGAAGGGCCTTGTCAGCACCACCTCATGGGCACCCAGGTCACGGGTCACTCAGGGCAGCAAACAGCCCATTCTGAACATGACGTGCTTGGAAGGTGACAAGTGCAAGGTGTCCAAATGACATTTCCTGGCCTTCCGGGTGAGCCCGGTGGTATCTTCACCAGAGACCTGGCACCAACACAAAGCAAGTGCTGTCCCCTCGACACTGTGCTACTCCCACGTGTGTGTGACGGAGTCCAGAGCAGCACCACGGAGATATACAACCCAGTGTGAGTGACTGGAGGCAGTCACAGAGCCATTGGCCAGGAGAGCTGGGGTTCCCTGTTACCTGGGTAACTGATAGGTCTCAAAATGTAACTGTGAACAGGGAATCAGCATTGAGCAGGTGTGTTTCCATCAGAGTCCTGCAGGGATTGGTTCTTGGCCCTACACTAATTACCATGACATTATTAATGACCTGGAAGAAAACATAAAATCATCACTGATCATGTTTGAGATGACACCGGGAGTGGTAAATAATGAAGGGGACAGGGCACTGATTCAGCGCAGTCTGGATCACTTGGTAAGCTGGGCACATGCAAACCATGTGCATTTTAATACAGCTAAATGTAAATGTGCACATCTAAGAACAAAGAATGCCAGCCATACTTATAGGATGGGGGAGGGGGCTACCCTGGGAAGCAGGGACTCTGGAAAAGGTTTGAGGGCGTGGTGGTTAATCAGCTAAACATGAACTCCCAGTGTGACACTGTGGCCAAAAGGGCTAATGTGATCCTGGGATGTATAAACTAGGTAATTTTGAGTAGCGGAAGAGAGGTTATTTTACCTCCATATTTGGCACTGGTGCAACCACTGCTGGGATACCGTGTCCAGTTCTGGTGTGCACAATTCCAGAAGGATGTTGATACATTGGAGAGGGTTCAGAGAGGAGCCATGAGAATGATAAAGGTTTTGAAAACCTGCCCTGTAGCGATAGACTCAAGAAGCCCAATCTATGTAGCTTAACAAAGAGAAGGTTCAGGGATGACTTGATCACAGTCTGTAAGTACCTACATGGGGAACAAATGCTTGGTAATAGTCAATCTAGGAAAGAAAAGTCTAACATGATCCAATGGGTGGAAGTTGAAGCTAGACAGATTCAGCCTGGAAATAAGGTACACGTTTTTAACATTAACCATTGGAACAACCTACCAAGGGTCATGGTCATCACTGGCAGCTTTTAAATCAGGATTGGATGTTTTTCTACAAGATCTGCTCTAGGAGTTATTTTGGGGCAGTATGCTGGCCTGTGTTATGTGGGAGGTCAGACTGGATGATCACAGTGGTCCCTTTTGGCCTGGGGAATCTATTCATTTCTTTATTACCTGTATTGTGGGAGTGCCTAGCTGGTTGGTGCGAATGATAGGACCTACTCCAGTTCTCTGTGATAAAAGTATGGCAATCAAGTTAAAAGCTAGGGTGTATAAACATTGTAATTCAACCCATCCTAATGTACAGGACAGAGACTTTGCCAACTACGGGGAAGGCGATCAGTATGTTCTCTACCACGGGAATGAAGATGTTGAGATGGTTAAATGGATGGACTTGCTATGATAGGAAATGGAATGAGGTTGTGAGGGGCCTAATGCGGATTGCCCCAATTGAGGACAAGTTGCTGGAGGCTAGGGTATGTTGGTGTGGTTGTGTCCAGTGGAGACCTGGGAGTGCTTCTGGTAGGATGACCCTTTCAGTGATTGTGGATGGAAGACGAGCAAGGAAGAGGCCTACGTGGAGCAGATATCAACAGATGTTAGCGACACCAATTTGCACAACAGCCAGCCGTACAATCACGAGTTTTGGAAGAAGGCTATAAAAGTCCCCAACCCCAAATAGGGAAGTGGCAAGAAAGAGGAAGAAGATTGTGGTAGCACCTGGGAGCTCCCATCATGGACCAGTACCCCATTGTGCCAGGCGCTGAACAAACGCAGAACAGAGGGATGGTCCCTGCCCTAAAGAGCTTACGGTATGGGGGACGTGCCAGCGATGGTACTTGCCCCATTGAACTGCAGGGATGACTGGCACCTTCGTTCTCCAGCCTGTTCTCAGTTAGACACCTGGTGCTCCAGGCTGAACGTCCTCAGGTTGGTAGGTGTAAGTTAGACGTGCAGTGTGAGTATTCACACCCGTAATGCGAGTTCTCTGAGCTTCTTGTATTTTACAGTGTGAAAAGGGACTTTTTTACACAACCTTTCTGGAATGATAATATTCTTATCATTTCCTGGGTATCCTGGGACTGCGCTCATGGGCCTCATTCCTGCTTGGCCCCATTGTGCAGGGTGCTGTACAGAAATAGAGGCAGACACAGTCCTTGCCCCGAACAGCTGAGAGTCTCAGCAATGGTTTGCTCATTTGTTCCTGTGTTTCATAGCTTCCAGCACACAGATTCATAGAGTCACATACATCCATAGATTTTAAGGCCAGGAAAGGCCATTAGATCCTCTAGTCTGCCCTCCTGAGTAATACAAGCCAGACAAACTCACCCATGGATTCCTGCATCTAGCCCAATGGCTTGTGGTTGAACTAGAGTGTATTCTGAAGGGGAGAGAAATGAGAGCTGAAATAAGTCAGAAACCATGCAAAGAACCTTGGGGGCAAAATTGCCACAATGGGAATGGCTGAAGGCCCAAATGGTCCCTTTTATTAATCAGGATTGGGAAGAGCCTAATGTCTTACTGAAATTCAAACCCTCCCTGACGTACCCGGCGTCAGAAGACAGGGCTCCTTTGCTGCTGGGATCTGGGCCACAGCCCCTTCTTGCTGCATGGCCGCTAATGTGTTCAGGGGGTTCTGTATTGCTGTGTCAATGGGTCAGACTGGGATTTTCAAAGCATCATCATTAAGGCTAAGATTTTGTCATGGCTATTTTTAGTGAAAAAGCCTGTGACCTGTCCATGACTTTTACTAAAAACAGCCATGACAAAATGGAGAGCTCAGCTGCGGGGTCCCCACACTGCGTGCAGCGGCGAGGCAGCTGCGGGGACAATGGTGCTGGAACGTTTTTTATAGTGGGGCTGCTGAAAGCCAGCAAAACTAGCCCCAAACTTCCTATCTGCCAGAGCTGAGGCCAGGAGCAGGGCCGTGTCTCCAGGAGGGGAGGGGGACACGGACAGGGATAAGGGGGCTGAGGCTGGCGGCAGTGCGGGGCCAGTAGCAGAGCCCTGTGTGTGGGACCGGCAGCCGGGACCCCGCATGTGCGGCTGGGAGAGGGGCCGGCAGCTGGGACCCCGCGTGCGGGGCCAGGAGTGGGATGGCAGGATTCCGTGTGCAGGGCCGGTGCTGGGCCGGCAGCCCAGGACCCCCAGGCACGGGGCCAGCAGCCATGATGCGGGACCCCGCATGCGTGGCCGGGAGCGGGGCCAGTAGCTGGGACACCATGTGTACAGCCGGCAGCCGTGACCCTGCATAAAACCTGGGGGTGCTGCAGCACCCCCCGCACTCCTACTTCCCGCACCTATGTGCGGGGGCCACTTGGAGCTCCAGGGTCCCCTCTGCCACCTGCGGCGGTCAGGAGCTGCGAGAGTACCCCACAGCTCCCAGCCGCCATGGGCTGAAGTCACGGAGGTCACCGGAAGTCACGGATTCCCTGTGACTTCGTCGACCTCTATAAAATAATCATAGCCTTAATCATAAGGGATCCCACTGGAGTGCGAGCTAGTTGCCAACATCCCTTTGGTGTCTTTGAAAATCCCACCGAAAGGTTTTAAGTAGAAAACTTGAAAAAATCCGTATGAGATAGGTAGGTAGGTAGATAGATAGATAGATGTGTGTGTGTGGGGACAGAGGAACAGATAGATAGATGGGTGTGTGTGGCGACAGATGGACAGATGGGTGTGTGTGGGGACAGATGGGTGTGTGTGGGGACAGATGGACAAATAGATAGATGGGTGTGTCTGGGGTTAGACAGAGACAGCGATAGCGCATCTCACCTATTACTCTCAGTTCACTCCCACACGTGCGTATCCGTCCCAGATCACGAGCCAGGCTCTTATTTTCACACAAGTAAATACCATTGTCTTCAGGCTGGATTTTGCTGAAGATGATCATTACAAACGACACATTCCTCTCCTCGTACACCCTCGGGCCATTCACATCTATCACCCGGGGGGTTTTGTCCTGTCCAGTCATTTTGTACCACTGCACATCATTTGAGTTGCGGGAATGGCAGATGAAGTGAACTTGGGTGTTCTTCTTGGCAGCTATGTAACGAGGGTGCTGCCGGAAGTTTGAACAGCACATATCTGAGGAGGAGACAAAACCAGGCCAGGAGGGTAAATTGATAACACTGCATCTTATTAGCTCCTCCAGTTCTTCCCTGTGATGCCTGTGGGCCAATAGGGATCATCCCAGGGCTACTAATGCAGCATGCTTCCTGGCAAATGACTGGCAAACGCTCACCAAATGCAGAAATGTAGGTTGACATAAATTGCAAGAAGAAGGACTACAATGCTGTGTGTGTGCAAACTGCGGCTTTGCTCCTGTGTGCACCAAGCACAGCCCCAGCTTCTGGGCGTGCACCAGGCACAGGGCATGTGCCAAAGCTCGTCAGCGCTCATGGAAGTTAGGGCCTTAAATGCCACGCAAGTCAAGATGTGCATAAGGTTCTCACAAGACCACAATGTGACTCCCCCACACCACATGTACCACTGCTATTACACTGCACAGCACCATTACAAAGTTTCAACGGAAAAATTTTGACCAGTTCTACTTTTAATTATTTAAAGTTTGCACAGCCGTTACATTTCTATGAAGTGACCAAGAAATACACCTCTACCCTGATATAATGCGACCTGATATAACACGAATTCGGATATAACACGGTAAAGCCGTGCTCCGGGGGGGGGGGGGGGGGGGGCTGCGCCCCCTGGCGGATCAAAGCAAGTTCAATATAACGCGGTTTCACCTATAACGCAGTAAGATTTTTTGGCTCCTGAGGACAGCGTTATATCGGGGTAGAGGTGTATATCCATTCTGTGCTTATTCCAAAGCCTTCATAGGAATTTTGAGCAGTTAAATATACTAAATTGCTGAGTTACATATACACAGTATTGTATTTGTATTCAATTATTCCTTATAAGTAGCATTTAATTCAGCTGCTTCAGAAAATCATGACTAACCACTACTCATTTGTAACACTCAAGGAGGCTTTTCCTCTCTAATGCAAGCTGCTTGCAGTTGCTAATTTAGTTATTTGATTTTATCGCTTCCCAAGTTATTCCTGCCTTTCATAATTATAAAACAACAAATAATTTGGAAAAGACAGAAAACCAAATAGCTAAATTAGTAACTGTGAGCAGCTTACATTAGAGAGGAAAACCCTCTATTGCTAGCACCTGTGATATCTCACAGCACACTAGCAACAGAACAACGCTTAAGCCTTAAAGAGTATCAAAGAAAAAGCACCATAGCGTTACGTTTATCGCCAGTAGACACAGCGCAGTTCTCCAGTATGCAATGTGTCTCATTACAATGAGGGCCACTGAGCTACTTTAAGGTTCCTTTGGTGCAAAATACCACCATCTCGAACCCAAGTCATTAAAATGTGCACTGTGATGATCCATAAATGGCGCTAGAACAATCTGTCAGATCTCGCTCCCAGCATTCCTGTCTCACAAGCAGCTCAGCATCTTTTGAAGACGTTTCGGTCCCCAAGGCCAGTTCCCAGACTGACTGGGACTGCAGCGTTTATTTTCTCTGAGGAGAGGAACCATAGGAAACACTGGTATATGAACTGGCCCTAGTGCTTTTATTATAATCATTGTTATTGATTTGCATTGTGGCAGTGCCCAGTCATAGGGCTGCATGGCACCAGGTGTTACTGTACCAACACAGAACAAAGAGCTGGGTCTCTAGTTCTTACAGTAGGTATCTGCCCTCCCCAGCCAGGCTGGCTCAGGGATCAACACCCTGGGAAAAGTCCAGTCATGTCTCCCTTGCCAGTCACATAACTGACCTCCTGTAGCCAGCTTGTGCAGTGGTGCTGTGCAGATAAGACTCTAACTCTGCCTGTGTAACTCATGTGGCCGGTAGTTACACAGCTCCCCTCACTGTGTTTTATTGTAGCACTTAGAAGCCCCAGTCATGGCCCTGCTGGGCACTGCACAAACCCAGAGCAAATCACTAATAGATCTTAGCCTCCCAGCACCCCTGAGCCGGGGACTCTTACCCCCATTTTACACAGGGGCAGCTTAGGTGCGAGGCAAGTCAAGTGACTTGCCTGAGGTCATACAGGAGGCCATTAGCTGATATGGGAACTGAAGGGAGATTTTCTATACCCCAGTCTGCTAGACCATTTCCCCCTCCCTACTCCACATGCAGAGAGCCAGACAGCCCAGGGTTTGTTGTCCTCCATGCTGCTCTGTGTGCATGTCCCCCCGGGGCACTCTGGGAGAGCTGCCCTGACTTCCCCAGCGTGCACTGGTACAAACATTGTTCAGCAGCATGGTAGATGTAGACTCATGAATGCGGCTGTGTTATCACTTGTCTGCATGGGAAGGTTGCACTGATTTAAGCTAAGGAGTGAATTTAAACCAATTAAGTAAAACCAATGCAAACCCCTGTGTAGACATCCTTATTTTGGTACAGCAGCTTTTTTCAGCTTAGCTTAAGTCTATGAGGAACAGGTTTAAGATAAAGCAAAATAAGCCATTCCCTTAAATTGAAATAAGAGCATCCACACAGGGGGTTGCATGTATTTAATTAAATTGGATTAAGAACAGATTTAAGTTAAATAGTTGCAACTTTCCCATGTAAACAAGGTCTCAGAGCAAAACCAGTTCAGATACAAATGTCTTCTGTGGTTCCCCTTCTCTGAGGAAATGGCAAATTCTGTAGCCAAAGTCCATATATGACCAACAAGTGGAGCTGAAGGGACTGAAATATGAGGGGAAATATGCAAATTTTACAGAGGCTGGGAATTGCTTTCACATTATTAGGGCTATTCGAAAAGGAGCATATTGATTATAAATTGTTAATACAGAAATGGGTAGTGGTTTGGGTTATAAGTTTTTGCAACAGCTTAAGCATTAAATATATTTAACAATGAAATAGGTAATTTACCATAATGGGAAAGAGACAGGCAGTAGCTAGGAACCTCAGCTAACTCATCCTCTCAAAATATATGGTTTTCATGTAGTGTTGTAGTAGTCATTTGGGGTATTTTAAAATCACTTTCTATCATTACTAATTCCATTTGATTGTCTGTTTTTCTGTCCTGTAGTTTGCAGTGCAGCATTTCATCTTTTTCACCAGACTGCATCAATGTCATCACTCTGTTGCAGCACAGAGTAAAAGAGATCCAGGCAATAACAAATCTCTCCAGCCCCTAAGCTCTGAGGGTCAGCCCCTCCGCTGGTGTAAAGCAGCACTCCAATGGAAGATCTGGCCCTCAGGGTCTACCAGGTGGCTGCAGCTGGGGACTAGAGGTTGGAGCCACCAGCTGAGTTTCAGCTTTAGAGAATTTTCACTGGGACACTCATTTTCTCTTAACCTTGCTGTATTTTCAGTGGGGGAGGAGGCACCTGAGAGATGCACTAAGCAAAACACAAGCATCACAAAGGAGGGGATTCACTGTAACAGTATTATACAGCTGTACTGACCTGACTTCTGCAGGGTGGTGGTTCTTGAGGCTGAGATCTCACCTGAAAGGCAGGAGAAGAACAGAAAAAGCAGCTCAGAGCTGGTGTAGTACAGAGAGGTCTCTCTGGAAGCACTCAGCAAGCAGATAAACCCAGGCTCAGCAGGGCCCATACAAGTCACTGGCATTTGGAGGCTCAAGGTGCTATGGGAGCCAGGGGCCTGACTCTCCCATACATTCTGGCCCTAACCTTCCTCCACGGCAGCAGGCAGCGGGATGCATCTGGGGCTGAGGGTCAGGTGGGCTCCAGAACTGACTCACTGGCTGGCTTTGGGGTGGGGGAAGGGGACAGTCCTTCAGCGGGTGCCCTGAGCATTAACTATCTAACGCCTGTGAGCACACACTGCAGCCAGGGCGGGCTGCTCCAGTCCTCTGTCACATGGCTGAGACTCAGGGTGGGAGGCAGGCTGGGCCAGTGGTTAGAGTGCTAGCCAGGCCTGGGGCTTGAGTGAACTCAGGACTGCACCGTGCTGGGGTTGAAACAGGCCGGTTAGCATGGTGGTTTAGCCGCTAGCCTGGGACTTTGAAGACTGGGGGCCATCTCCCGCTCTGCTACAGACTGTGTGAACTTGGGCAAGTCACTGAGTCTGTCTGGGCCTTGGTTCCCCAGCTGTAAACCAGGGCCGAGAGCCCTTCCCCCCAGGGTTTTTGTTTTTTTGGAGATATCCCATCTCCTAGAACTGGAACAGGGACCTTGAAAGGTCATGGAGTCCAGCCCCCTGCCTTCACCAAGTACTGATTTTGTCCTAGATCCCTAAGTGGCCCCCTTAAGGATTGAACTCACAACCCTGGGTTTAGCAGGCCAATGCTCAAACCACTGAGCTATACCTCAGTGAGGATAAAGCCATTAACACGTGAGCCCAGCTAAGCACCCCACCTCACTAGCTGCTCTAGAGTCCGGCCCCAGCATAACAAAAAGCAACTTTAACAGACTTGTCAAGATAAATGGAGCCCATAGGGCAGGAATTGCCTGGTCTCCCTGCTGTGACCCTCACCCCACACCCTACATGGGGCCACTCACAGAGTTAATCCAAATTAACTTCTACAGTGAATTAGTTAAACCGTATTTAATCTCTGTGTGAACACTCTTATTCAGAATGAAAGTGGCCTGAATTTGGTTTAGCTTAATTGACTTGGAAGTACAGACTCGGTTCTTTGGGGCCCAGGCCAAGTCTCTCTATTGGGTGTGCAAAGTGCTAATGCCCTGGCGGGCATTGTGTAAATAAATCATTAACATGGCTGTGTCCCCCAAGAGGGGCTGGCATGGGACTGGAACACAGGGTATGGCTACACTGCGATAAAAGACCCATAGCACGGCTGCGGCTGGCCCAGGTCAGCTGACTCGGGCTCATGGGGCTCTGGCTGCGGGGTTAGAAAATGCAGCGTAGGAGTTTGGGCTCCAGCCCGAGCTGGAATGTCTACACTGCTATTTTTAGCCCCACAACCCTAGCCTGAATCAGCTGCCCTGGACTCGGAGCCATGGGTTTTTATCACTGTGTAGACACACCCTTAGACTCTAAGCAGCAATTGTACCCCTACATCAGCAATTCCCAAAGTAGCCCACAACTCTCCTCCCTAGCCAGGCATCTCCGCCCTGCAACCTGAGCTAGCCAGCCCCAACCCAGCATCTCCCCTGACATCCTGCAGCGGCTGCACCACTTCCCCAGTGGGGCAGATGGGCAGGAAGCGCTGTCCTGTTTACTGAGTCGCTCCAGTGCACAGCTCACTCCTTTGCTATTTCTATGAAAATTGATCTGGGTGGTCAGGTGGCTTGTAGCTGACATGTAGCTTTACTCCGTGGTTGTCTGCCAGCTCCTCGCCCATTCGGGCTGTGGTAATAACAATTCAGAGTAATGGTTTAATCATAGAAAGTGAATGTTGACACTCTATAGCTGTGCCCCTGCTGTTCACCTTGTTTGTGAAAGTTTGTACGAGCGGACGCCTCTGTGTATTAATGTTCCCGAACCACCTGTCATCTCCTCCCTCCGTGGGAAGAGAGGGGCTTCCAGTTAATGTAAGCAACAGCTGCCCAGTGCTCATGCACTGCTACTCCAGTTTTCTACCAGCAAGAGCTCAATACACCAGTCACCTTGGACAGCAAGTTGTAGCTGCCCAGCATTTCCCTTCAGCCAGCACAGCCCTGGAGGGGCTCTGGCTATATGAACAAGGGAGATGTTACACTGCCTACTTAGCAAGGGTCCCAAGAAACACTCGGCAGGGTCTCACTTCTCTTACCTGGCTCCCATCACCGCAGCATCTGAATATCCCCCAAGCTTCGGTGGCTCTAGCCTCCACCCTGGGAAGCAGGCCAGGGCTCCAAAGCCCTTGTTCAGAACACACAGAGACAGGACATAACTTGGCCAAGGACATGCAGGATGCCTGTAGCACAGCAGGGAATTGAAGCAGGGTCTCACACATCCTAAGCCAGGGACCTAAACCATGGCACCAGCCTTCTTTCTGCTGGGTGGTTGTTTCGTGGGTTAGAACTGCAGAGCCCAACAGTGAAAACGCCACTGTCGCCTTAGTGAGCAAAGGGCTGAAACCAAGCAGAGCCTGGACATGCCAAGGGCATCACCTAGGCTAGTGATTACTTTCCCTGGGGTCCCACCATGCTGGGCAGCCCTGAGGCCAGAGTTCCTGCCTTGCTGCATATGCTGTGAAATCCAGGTCCTGCCTTCCCGGGAAAAGTTTGCTTTGTGCAAACGGATGCTGAAATGATTTGAAAGATGGAAGGCGTTTGGGTTGAAAAGCTTAGAAACAAGTGAGTGACAGCTGAGATCCCGTTTCCGGGTGAAGTTCTTTAGCGTTCCAACCCAGGACCAGGTGCAATGGGAGAGATTTCAATACTCTGTTGGCAGAATCCACATTTAGGACTAATTCCCATAAAGAGTTAATGCCGACTGCACCAGCCGATAGCCCCGGTAAGATTAAAGAACCTGTGAAAATCCTACCTGAGATCAGGACTAACAGGCAGAGCTGCGTGTGGAGAGCTGCCAGACTCTTGCAAAGGGAAGCCATTTCTGAGATAAAATGGCAGGAAAACATCAACGCCCTGGCCTTGCGCTGTGGCTGCAGAAACACTGTGAACTCTCCAACTGGCTTCGTCTTTAGTGCTAAAAATGACAATGCTTTAGCGAAGCAAGACAGGACTTTCCTGTCGATGTAAATCAGGCCCTGCCGGGACTGCCCCAGGGGCTTGGTTTAGCACAGACTCAGCTGTGGGCCGTGGCTACGCAGTTGAGTGCATCTTCCCCGCCCCGGGCCAGATGCAGAGATGTGGCAGCAGGAGCAGGGGAATGTAAATTAGTCTCCCTTCGGGTCGCGCTACACCCGAGTTGGAGGTGTAATTTCCAACTTAAGGAGCCCGGCCCACGCTAGTTTTGATCGTGCTAACGCACTAACAATTACAGTGTATCCATGGTGGTGGGAGCGACAGGAGAGCCCATCTGGGACTCAGGGCGGCCAGCCCCTCCCGCGCTATGCTATACGTCTGTGTTTAGATGCCACCTTGATCAGAGCTAGCGTGGGTATGTCTCCTCCAGCTGGGACAGACGCCTTCCCGCTTCAGTGCGGACATACCCTTGCAAACCGACAAAGGTGTAAGCTACAGATCTCCTGCAGGCAACAGCATGAGTCTGGATTCATTGAGTCACCTCCCACAGCACTGGGCAGGCACTTCCCTCGCCAGCTTCGCATGTTTCAGACAGACTCGTGGCACTTCTGCCTGGCCTTTGCCGGGGTGTGCGGAAAGCCCCGACCAAACCCACCAGTGCCGGCTGGGATGGAAGTCGGGCATTTGGCTGCTGTTATTGCTTCAAGCCAGGGAGCACTGCTGCACCCCCAGCACCCCCCAGTTCTGGTGCCCCCCCCCCGCCTTTGCCCTGTGGTGTGCAGTGATTGCTCAGTGCTTGCCTGAGGTCTGCTTTGTTCTGGGTCCAGGTCCAGTTCCAATTGGCTGTGCATAACAACAAGAGCTTCCCAGCACCCCGGCCAAACCCTCTGTCTGGGAAGCTCAGCCCTTAAAGGCACAGCTCCACCCCTCTCCCCACCCCAATGCCACAGGCTTTCCCTGCATTGATGCGGTGCTAGTGGAATGCAGGGGGCAGGGCAATCCCAGAATTTACGGCTCTCTTCCCCACTGCCGCCAAAGGTGCTGGCGGTCAGATCCCACCCAGTGTGCACTGTAACGTGTCGTTTTCTGCAGCAGCTGGAGGGGTCATTTGGTGTTTGTGCTAGTTGCTGCTGGGTTGTCTGGTTAGGCCAGCGCAGTGTGTGACCCGTGCCCACTCCATGTGGGGCTCTGGCCCCTGTAGTGGTAACTGGGGCATACAGGTCTTGAGGAGCCTGCTGCGGCTTTAGCTAACAGAGTGGGACTTTTAGCTCAGGCAATGGAGGCTCGAGGCCCCACGTTCTCTGCTTGCTGCCGACAGCCCCCCAGGGGTGTGGTGTTACACGTGGTGACTGAAGGATTGAAGCCTCTCAACCTCTCTACACAGCCCCCGGGCAGAGTGCCCCGGTGGGGGTGGGTTACGGCAGCACCAGCATTCAGTTGCAGTGCAAGGGCAATATTTAAACAAGGCTCATATAAAAATGTGATGCCCCAATGGCCAAGGGGGGCCGATGCTGGAGTTCAAAAATTTCCAGTCCCATCTGGCCTTGCAGCATCCCGCCTAGTAAACCACCGATCAGCTGGGAGCTGGGGCTGCACAGGGAGCCAGCTGCCCCAGGAACTGCGGAGACTGGAAGCCCTGAGAGCCCCAGATCGGGCAGGCTGCTGGGAGCCTGGAAGCCCACCAGGCAGGCTGCCAAGGAGTTGGGGAGATGGCTGAGCTGGCAGGAAAGCTGCCTGCTTTCCACTGACATTTCATGGGAATCCACACATTCCCACAGAATGCTTGGAGGCTGGTGAATTGATATTTTCCAAGGGAAGAATGTTCCATGGGAAAACCTCCGACCAGCTGTAGCCATGTGCCATCTCGGATGGGTGTCCGCTGTGCCGCGCCACTGCGTGTAGGTGTGAAATACAAGCAGGAATCTCTGATATCCTGCTGAGTCCACCTGTCTCTAATCCACCAGAATCTTCTTTTATCAGATAACACTCCTGCCTTGGGGGAATGGCAGCACTCAGCCAGGTTCAATAGAGCTCTGGTCTCTCTGGACAAATAACTAAACCAGCCCCTCTCAAAAACCTGGGGAAATTAAACAGACTCTCCATGGGTACTTTAGATAGGCAGAATTTCCTCACTTGCAAGTTCTCTGGGACTGTGAGCAGACAAGGAAATCTGGACAAGGGGAAAGGGAACAGTCATGAACTTGGGAAAACACAGCAACAGAACATGCATGCTAAAAAAGAGTGAAATAGAATCATAGAATATCAGGGTTGGAAGGGACCTCAGGAGGTATCTAGTCCCACCCCCTGCTCAAAGCAGGACCAATCCCCAACTAAATCATCCCAGCCAGGGCTTTGTCAAGTCTGTGCTTAAAAACCGCTAAGGAAGGGGATTCCACCACCTCCCTAGGTAACCCATTCCAGTGCTTCACCACCCTCCTAGTGAAAAAGTTTTTCCTAATATCCAACCTAAACCTCCCACACTGCAACTTGAGACCATTACTCCTTGTTCTGTCATCTGCTACCACTGAGAACAGTCTAGATCCGTCCTCTTTGGAACCTCCTTTCAGGTAGTTGAAAGCAGCTATCAAATCCCCCCTCATTCTTCTCTTCTGCAGACTAAAGAATCCCAGTTCCCTCAGCCTTTCCTCATAAGTCATGTGCTCCAGCCCCCTAATCATTTTTGTTGCCCTTCGCTGGACTCCTTCCAATTTTTCCACATCCTTCTTGTAGTGTGGGGCCCAAAACTGGACACAGTACTCCAGATAAGGCCTCACCAATATCGAATAGAGGGGAATGATCACGTCCCTCGATCTGCTGGCAATGCCCCTACTTATACAGCCCAAAATGCCGTTAGCGTTCCTGGCAACAAGGGCACGCTGTTGACGCATATTCAGCTTCTCATCCACTGTAACCCCTAGGTCCTTTTCTGCAGAACTGCTGCCTAGCCATTTGGTCCCTAGTCTGTAGCAGTGCATAGGATTCTTCCGTCCTAAGTGCAGGTCTCTGAACTTGTCCTTGTTGAACCTCATCAGATTTCTTTTGGCCCAATCCTCTAATTTGTCTAGGTCCCTCTGTATCCTATCCCTACCCTCCAGCATATCTACCACTCCTCCCAGTTTAGTGTCATCTGCAAACTTGCTGAGAGTGCAGTCCACGCCATCCTCCAGATCATTAATGAAGATATTGAACAAAAACGGCCCCAGGACCGACCCTTGGGGCACTCCGCTGGAAACCGGCTGCCAACTAGACATGGAGCCATTGATCACTACCCGTTGAGCCAGATGATCTAGGCAGCTTTCTATCCACCTTATAGTCCATTCATCCAGTCCATACTTCTTTAACTTGCTGGCAAGAATACTGTGGGAGACCATAACAAAAGCTTTGCTAAAGTCAAGAAATAACACATCCAGTGCTTTCCCATCATCCACAGAGACAGTTATCTCGTCATAGAAGGCAATTAGGTTAGTTAGGCATGACTTGCCCTTGGTGAATCCATGCTGACTGTTCCTGATCACTTTCCTCTCCTCTAAGTGCTTCAGAATTGATTCCTTGGGGACCTGCTCCATGACTTTTCCAGGGACTGAGGTGAGGCTGACTGGCCTGTAGTTCTTCGGATCCTCCTTCTTCCCTTTTTTAAAGATGGGCACTACATTAGCCTTTTTCCTGTTATCTGGGACCTCTCCCGATTGCCATGAGTTTTCAAAGATAATGGCCAATGGCTCTGCAATCACATATGCCAACTCCTTTAGCAGCCTCGGATGCAGCGCATCCGGCCCCATGGACTTGTGCTCATCCAGTTTTTCTAAATAGTCCCGAACCACTTCTTTCTCCACAGAGGGCTGGTCACCTCCTCCCCATACTGTGCTGCCCAGTGCAGCAGTCTGAGAGCTGACCTTGTTCGTGAAGACAGAGGCAAAAAAGGCATTGAGTATATTAGCTTTTTCCACATCCTCTGTCACTAGGCTGCGTCCCTCATTCAGTAAATACCCTCCCCCTTTCCAGTAACTTGAGCAGTAGTCTGTCTAACTTCCTTCCCACCTGCTGATGAGAATATCCCCCAGCTGACTGTCTTTTAACTGCACCACTTCATCCACCCACTGCACCACTCACACTTGGGATCAGGAAATAGCAGTGTCTACATGTAGATCTGTCTTCATTCCTGAGGGGGCTTCTTATCTGAAGACATTATCATCTAATCCATCTTTGTAGCTCACACTTATTAAGGTGCTAGCTCTGGGTAATTATACAGCTGTTTATTGTATCATCTCTCATAATAAAGTTTTCAGGCTGCCTTTTTTCTTACAGTAAAGTCCCCACAGAAGACAAACCAAAAAGCACTTATGACTCTTTAGATGAATTCTGAGTTCTCACTGATAAGCTTTTCATTATAATACAAAAACTCTTTTTTAGGGGGTCTTTGTTTGGAGCCCACTACCCCACAACCTCCAAGTTCAAGTGTAGTTATGGTGACTCCTTGAGTGTCACAATTGTGGGTAGGTAGTTTATGCAAATGAAGTTCTCTATGGCAGCACTTTTCCTTCTTCACCAGTAGAGGGAGTAGTGAGCTCTTTCCTGTCCAGAGTTTCTGGCCACAGGGCTTACATTATTTAACATTCATATAATGCTAGTTCCTAGAGACCAACTGGTTTTGGGCTCCATTGCACTGGGCAAACATAGAACCAGTGACAATTCCTGCTCCAAAGAGCGTCCAATCCAAGAGATAAAATTGAACAAGCGCATGGTCTGGGGCGGAGGAGGCACCATGACAAAAATAATAGACGGTGCACATTGCCTCGTCAACCAGCGCAGTGCTCCCAGGTGTCTCTGGACTATTATAATCAGTCTGTGCAACCAAACAGAGAATGCTGGCAACTTGCCTAGGGAGATTCATAGATTCTAGGACTGGAAGGGACCTCGAGAGGTCATCGAG